TTGGAAAATAATGGTCAATTGTTTGAACATTCTTTATAAAATATTCTTTTGCTTTGAACTAATTTGTTTAATGAACATGTTAACTTATACTATGTATATTTATCGTTATATTTGTAATAAAAAATGCTATTTAATACAAATGAATATGAAAAAATATAGTGGATGATGACTTCGCCCACACGAGACGTTGTACTTAAAATATTTCGATGGTATCTTATAGAAGTCAACAAGTTGATAATAATATTGAAGATATGTAAAAAATAAATTTAATATGTAAATATTGTTGAAATCAGCGCAAAAAAACCCTTTTTTTTATTAAATCATTGTAATTGGCTTTCAGTATAAAAAATATTACTTTAATATACTTTGCTTTTTTGGTTATCCTATAGTGAAAAACAACAAACTGGTCTGAATAATAAACCTTTATTATGGTTTCAAAATTAAAGAATACAAAGGGATAAAAATCAAACTACAGTAAAAAAAATATAACGCTGTTGAAAGTTACGCACGCTTGATAGGAACTAACTTGGAATTTCGACATATAAAACGAGTTTGCTTTCTTGTATTCAGCTATTGTAGTTCCAAATTCAACAATAAACTAAATCTAATCCGAATTCTGTAAACACTTTTGGTCCTACAATTGGTCCATGATGCTTTCGTAACGCCTCGAATTTATTTATTTATCTTTAACATACTTTCACTAACTCTAACTTGTTTAGCAATATATTGCCATAAAATAATTTTGAGTTATATTCTTATCAGCACGTTTTTTTTAAATATTATTGCACTAGATTATAACATTATTTTTACCTATTCGTTTTTTATAGGATTTTATTTGTATTATTTAATTATACACTGGCATATTTATATACCTTGCTTACACTCATTATTTACCAAATGTTCTTTGAAAGAAAAAAATCAGTTGCTAAAGCCGTCTCTCCTTCGTAATCCAAATGTCATTTATTTGGATCAAATGCAATTCCTTTAATTCCTTTTTATAATTTACAAATATTATCGTTACATGTGTGCTCCAAAATATTTTGCTTGCTACCAAATAACGAGTGATTGAAATGCGGTACATGCGGCAGCTGGAAAATATAGGGTGATTTATTATGCAATCTCTATTCTTTAGACAACTTTTTATTTTTTACGTTCAACCAACTTCGTCGCTTTGATGGTATTTCCTTAAAAGAACACAACAAGTAATTTCAAAAGCTGAAAGCTCGAGAGATTTAATTTTAGGACCTCAGCTGCACTGGAGCACCTTTCAAGACTTAATTTTGCTGCTGATTGGCAGTCCTCTGACGGCGACCGTGATTTTTATTAAATTAATTTATAAAAAGAAAACAAACAACTCCTAGACAATACTTTTTAATATGTTTTAATTTTCATTTAACTGAGTTTAAAGATATGAAAGATTATTAAATGAGATTGATGTTTCACTTATGGGATTACAGAGAGCCTTGTTTTGTTCTAACAATTCCTACATGGATAATGCTTTTTCTCTTTTTCCTTTCAATGTTAATAATATCATTATTTCATTTTTGCAAATTAATAGAAATTGGAAAAACTTTTAGCATACTGAAGAGATGTATGAGTCTGATAATTCAAATCAAAGAGAGTCTTTAGAGCGTGGTTCTGTACAAATCTTCCGAATTCCACCTGCTTTGATTGTTGATAAATCGAACTTGCTGAAGTTTCGCCAGTCATCTTGATGGATTCTTCCAAACTTAATTGAAACGGGCTCGCCTTTTACTCTGTACCTGATGATATATTGTATGAGAGACGCAGAGCTAGAGGATAAGCAAAAACATTGTCTCGGATGAGTCTCGGTTAAGATTGTTTGGTTGCTCATAGATTTCTATAGATTCTCGCGTTTTTATTTGGTAGAAGAATTGATTGCATGTAAGAATTTTCTTTTATCCAATAAGGTATGATGTCTGGTAGTGCAACTGCTGATGAGTTTATATTTATGCTGTAAACTATTGATATCTCAAGCGGAATTATGTCTGACATACCGAAGATATTCAGAAAATTTTGGATAAGTGGTAAATGTGGTTTTAACGTTACATTTCTTTAAAAACTTGTGATATGTGGTCCTTGAAACTTTCAGTGACAAGTGTAGGGTTTGCTTTCGGACTGTAATGTAGAAATTATTTGACAGAAGAGCACATATAAAGTGTTTTAATTCTGGTTTCAGTGACTTGGGTCGAGATAGTTGTTCGGCTCTGAAAAAAAGAGAGTTGATAAAGGGTCGTGACAATGCATTAAGGTATCGGTCAGTGTGCACAGATCTTCTGTAGATAGAACGACCCAATGTTAAGTCTGATTTTTCATTAATAAGAATACCTAAAATGAAAGATTACTCTTGGTTTCCAATTCGATGTATAGAGTTTAAATGGCTAAGAAAATCTAGGAAGGAGTCTTAACCATAATGGGAAATAACAAAAGTGTCAACAACGTAGCGTTTCCATAGTTTTGGTATTAGTTGGTATATATCGAGGGCTTTTTTTCTCAAACGCTTCCATAAATATATTTGCAATGATTGGTGACAATGGAGAACCCGTAATTGTTCGTGATATTTGTTGATAAATTTAACCATTGCTAGAAAAATATGACCCAGACAAGCATTTTTCAATTAAGATTAGATAGTTTGGTTCCATATTCTCTGATTGTAATATATCTGAAAGAATATTGGGAGTTTCAGAAATAGGGACTTTAGTCAAGAGAGATTCAATATCGTTTGGATCTATTGTTCAATTAAATGAAACGAATTAAGTACCAAACTATCAGTTTCTCATGTAAAGGGTTTTAACATGGAAGCAAAGTCTTGCAGGAACAGGACGAAACTATGCTAAAAGAACATTCGATAAAACAAAAATTCTTGCATGTAATAAATTCCTTTTTCTATTCCCGTCTGTAAAATACCCACCGATCTAGCTTGTGGGAAGCGTCACTTAACCACGTCAGTTCCGTTTCCCACGAATCCGAACCATTTCGGACATTTCCGGAATTTTACCGCACGGATTTGGGAGCGATCGAATGTTTTCGGAAATATTTCCCACGCTTTGAATTTTGACGTTTATCAATTCTGTCAAAAACTAACGGTCGTAGAAAAAGTATAGTCGTTCGGTAAACTTTTTAATTCACTCGTTTATTAAAAACTCGTGAGTCAAATGCCGTTTACCGCATTTGTTGCATAATATACTATTAGCAATAGAAATCAATAAGCAATCAAGCAATCTTTACCTCGACTCAGATATTTACCTTTCACCAATATGGGAATCAGTCATCGGAGAAAATGTTCACGCCCCTCCATGAGTTTTGCCTCCATCAAACAGTAGATAACCAGGTACAGAATAGAAGGCTAGACAGTTTCAATTAAACTCTAAAGAAGCCAACAGGATGATTGGAGAAATATGAGTTCGCTTAATCAAAAACCGACACAGGACGAATACAGAACATTTGTAAATGAAATCGCAGTGGAATGTGGTAGTTTTTTAAAAAACTACCTCCATTGCAAAGTTTGTATTTAGCATTGTGTGTCAAGAATCTTCTGCGTCTAAGGGCCCTATAGGGAAATTATTTTGTTTTTGATATCTTTGAATTGAATCAACCCTGTTCAGGATCACATAGTTAATTTTGATCTTGCAATGACCTATATGTTAATTAAATGAGGTTCTAATTTAATATAATATAATAATGTAATACTTTGTTGTCACTGTTGTCCAAATCAGTATGTTGCACACTATATATCATTACTGTGTCATCCGCAAACGTATCTACTATGCTCTGGTGACATGCACTTGCCGATTCAGAACAAAAAGGGAATACAGCAGTGACCCTAGTACACTCCACAATTATTTGCCACAGTTTTATTTTTTGCGTGCATAGCAGTGACATACTGCTTTCTATAGTACAAATATGATCTAATTAGTTGAAGAACGGAAGCTCTGAACCCCATTTTCTCTTTTATGCAAAAGAAGTTAATATTTGTCTAAATGAGTTGTTAAATGGTCTAAAAGCTTTTAGACTATTGCTGTTCGAAAAAACGTTTAGAAGCGATAATGGTTTGTAATTCGATACATGCATTAGTATATGATATTATTATATTGTTTGCCAAATTAACTAAAACTACATTCATTAAAAATATCGTTATCAATCATCTACACTAATACCGCGTGCTCGGGCGCAGCCTTCTGCTTAATATTTGATATGATATCGCAACTTTCCTTGTCATTAATCTCGGTAAAAAATAGACAATCAAATAAGAGATTCCTTTTTTTAAGCTTGACCTTCTGCATTATCTGGGAACCTAACTCCGATAACCTTTACCATAATAATATTTAATTATCGACTATTTCAAGTTGAGTCAACCTTCTTGCATTTATTTGGAAATTAAATCTGAAATAAACAACGAACATATGGATCATAACAATGGAAGACTTTAATGGATTCTCGTTCGAATTGTTATATGATATGATTGTATGATACGGGATTAAAATTAAATTCTCTTAGAAATCTACACCTTTTAAATGTGACTACTAAAACATTTATCACAAAGCAAAACCATTTCTTAATAAGTTTGTATCCTTTAACCAGAATTAAATTTGCTAACACCAAAAGGAAAAAGCTTTGGCAATGGCTTCAGGTCAGCTATGTATCCTCGATTAATTTCATATAGAGCGGCTAAACTACTTTACCAGTCACCTAGGGAATTTTATAACGGGCTGAGGATCCAATGACCAAAAAGGATTTAAAGAATATGTATTTGAGAATGAGACTAAGTCCTCTTATGTTATGGGAATACTATTATTTTTTAAATATCTTACCTTCTCAAAGTTAAGTTATGGGTGATACATCGCCTTTATATCCAGATGATTTTTCCTTTTTCAGTCGCATTGAAAAGCTCTGCTATTCTTACCATCTTCGGATAAATAAGGAATCATGATTATTATTTCTACAGGGAATATATCGCAATCGCGCATATCTTAGGAGGTTTTATTTATAAACTTTCATAATAGTATTAATAATAATAAAGGTCTATTTACTTACTATTACTATTATATATATTTTGATTTTTTGAATTTTGTGAATCGAGAACCATATACAGTGAAGAAAGGCTTAAAACGGACCTCTGAAGGATATCATTATTAACGTTAATGGATGAAGAAGTTACACCATTATTGCCTTGCAAAATTTCATTAGTTCCATAAGCGGCGATGCTCTATAGATGTAAATTTAAAAAGTAGCGTCAACATTAAAATTAAAATTTAATGGGTCACCATGTGTTATATTTTCGGATCCGCTCATACTTTATGATTGTTTTTAAATAACATGTTCCTAATCTATCCCTATCTCCAGCGGTTTTAAGGAAAACAATTATTTTCGTCATTTGTCCGATCAAGACAGAGATTCAATTAAACTTTTATTACTACGACACTGGAGTCAGCAGAAACTTGAAAGTTTGGACTCAGCTTAACGGGATATGGAACAGAATTTCTTAATATCGAATAAGATATGAAGGATCGGTCAAACCTAACCCTGTATATTATCATGTGTTCAAAGAATAAATGAAATTATGTATCCCTATACGTAAATCTTTTGGTTTCTGAATTAAATGCAAGTTTATCTGAAAACTTTGGCATATTTCATCTTTTAGGCGGCCATGCGTCTTATATTACATAATTCATTTTTCGTTTGATAGTTTTATAAAAATTTATTTATTATGGGTTGTGGAGCAAATAGTGTCTAAAAAATCATTTCAAAATGGAAGGAAACCGGTATTCTAATGCTGTTTTAATGAATTTGTTTATTGTGCATAGACAACGCAATCACGTTAATCCCAAAAAAATTAATGAAACGAATCCTGATTTACAATACATGAACAAGAGAAAATTTGCCAGAATTAAAAAAAGCTTTACAAACTAAGGGTACCTCATTCTTTACCAAAACCTGCTACTTCACTAATGGCTGGTTGCAGTCTCGTAGTAATAAAAATTTAATTGAAACCATATTGAAAATATTTTTTTGGAATAATAGAGGCAGAGGCAGAACAATTTCAGAAAATATGGTGACTATATAAATTAATTGTAGATATATTAGCACCTAAATCAATAGTCCTAATTATCAAGAATACAACAGTTTCAATTGCAGGGGTCAAAAAAAGCACACGGGAATGAACTATTTACTCTATTAGTATAATATAAAATTAAATCCTTATCAGGGGTAGTTCGGGAACAGATTTCTATTTATTACTATTTATATCCTCGACATTACATATATTTGCAGGTACATCATTAGTTTTTCCCTTTAATAGTCTCATGCGAACTCATCCATTCATTATAATAAAAAAGTTATTCCAATACATTTTCTTTTTTTTTATCGCAGTTGTGATATATCTCAGAGTTTTATAGGTCTGCCTTTTACTCTTTTTAAATTTAGATTATGACTTGTTTCTAGTAACTGGAGTGTTAATAATTGCACCCATACGTCATGTTGTGTGATATATTATTGATTTTGAGTGAGGCGTGAGTATCTAACAGAACATTTATATTATACTGATAAATTCTACGCCCTCGGCACGGTTTAAGTCGGAATTAAATTTATTATAATCTAATTTTTTTAAATCTTTTGATTTTTTGAAAAATACTACTAGATTTTCTATATTTTAGAATAATTGAACAAAAAACGAAATAATTGTAAGATACCTGAGTCGCTTCGTTCGAATCGGAAGTAAGAATATAATCCAGTAGAGTTAATCTTTCATTTTTTCACAAATAAAAATAAAACGCTAAACAAGACATGTCGAAAAAAAGAAAAGAAAGTGTGCTTGAAATTTAGTCAGGTAGTCAGAAGGACGGTGGTCTATTTCGGTCCCCAAAATTGTGAAAAAATATGCGGGAGGTTTTTCATAAAATTTTAAAGCTTTATTTCTTTTCGTGTTTTAAAATAGAAAACAAGAAATTCGCGGTTGACTTCAGATTCAACGTTTCCACATATAATAATGAGCTGCTACCCTTTGTTTTGAACAATGAATCAAAGACTATGTTTATCGCCTTTTTTTTTAAACTCTATGTATGTGGGCGCTTATATTGTGGAGACAGAGAGCGAAACGATGAGCAAGGAAGACAAAAATTTTTAACATTAACATGAGTTGGATATACCCTCAATCTCATTACACTACTAGAACAAAAAACTGAAAAATCGAGCGAGAATTTTTCACAATTGCAGTCGTATAATTAAATTGACATTTTCCTCTTAGCACTAGCTATAGTACAAGAAGTTATATTTGCGATGCTCTTCGGCTGCTTAACACCGGCGACGTCTGCAATCCATTGTTGTGTACAACAGGAACGATTTTGTTCACTTCCACTTCGTCCGCGAAAGCGTTGTGAACTTGCACTGTCAAAGAGTTGCCGTCGGGTTTCAAACTGGAAACGACCATTTGCTCGTTTTTGAAGTTTTCTGGCGTGCTAGGTCCGTTGACGCGTCTGGTTTCGGGATCCACCATTCTGAAGGTCTCCATAAATTCATTGAGATCCACCAGACCGTCTTTGTTTATGTCCATCATTTTGCATATCTCCGCAAGTTGTTCGTCAGTCATCGGACAAGGCATATGCTCCTTAATGAGATTGCAAGCGTCTGCCAACTCATCTAGGCTGATGTACCCTGTAACAAGAATTAGAATAAACAGGTAGAGGAGCCCATGAAAGCTGATGAGGTAGAATTTACGCTCCAATATCCCTCATCAAATTTAGTGATCAACTTTGATCATTCCTTAATATAGATTAAAGACATAGTCAGCATTTAAAATAAATTCAACAGAGTGATTTTTTGCAATAATAACATTAATATCCTATCCACCCTTATCCTAATTCCTTCTTCGACCAAAAAGCTTCAATGAATTCCACCCGCAAAAGACAACAATTCATATAGCTAATTCAAGTGAGTAGTATATATTCGTTACTTGTGTGCCCTCTGTCCTCCGTGTGCCAACCTGAGATATCAGAGATTACAGATTTCCAACCAAAAATTCAGATAATGTTTTACCACTCATACACAAATGGCAGCACAGTTTAGATTTTACGGCAGAAGATCACGTGTAAGCAGAGTGTCTTAAACATTAGTTATACTTTCCTATATAACTGGATGGCTAGCAAATAAAAAACAAGTTGTTCTATGCCTATGGCATTTTTCTTGTTGATTGATGTTTTTAAAATTAATGTTATTAATATAAACGACCTTAAGTGAATTATTGTGCTGGGTGTTTAAAAGACATGCAGCTCTAGATTCGTGAAATAAAAAGAAAAGAAAACATTTCATATAAACCAAGGTTCAGAAAGGTTTAGATCCCAAGATAAAAGGTTTTGGAATATTTTATAAAAAACGGGTTTTGTGACAATCCTTAAGCAATCTATACATATCTCCAGAGAGTACAGTGTCAATATTTTCGACATTTGTATCAAAGAGTACAAAAAAACGTTCATTAAAGGTTTTGTCCATTCTGATGATAAGGCAAGATACCAAAAACAACTCAAGAGTCAAAAAAATCGTACTTTTAGTAACTTGTTCAAATAAAAAAACAAAAATAAAAAAAGTCAGTGGCGTGCATCTTTTTGAAAATACTCTGGGCACGCACTAGACTTCACAGTTTTTACTTAATTTTTCAATGAAACTATGGCACTTTTAGGTACACATTTTCTGTTTACTGCTGACGTTTCGCGATACATGCTGCTGGCTTCTTCAGTTTCAGACAGCTTTCCAATTAAGCGAGCAGTTGTTTGGAGAAATGTCGGCAAGACAGACGAGAAATCGAGATGTGTACCTACAATTTTTATCTAAATATGGCTGATAAATTTGAACAAAATAGGAAACATGTATTTAATATATTATATATATATAATCCTCTTTTTTTTAAATAAAACACCCTGTCACATTTCAGGAACAACTTTTTGTCTCACGAATCTACAACTCTGGAGAAGTTATCTATATTTCTCAAAGTTATTATATTATGAGGAACCCATCATTGTTAATAAATGTAATTTTAACGAATTTAAAATCAATATAGATGTGATAAATATAAGTTGATCTTTTTTATCTCTCAAGAAACAATGAACAAAACGCCTCTGCAGGAAGTCTAAAATATAAAATCACCTATTTAAAATCATGTCATTAAGAATATTACGTTCATATTGTACAAATTAATAAATCTTGTATTCAACAGTGACGTAAAAAAATTGCATTCGTGCGACCAGCATACGAACATTAACAAGCAAACGAAACGTAAACTTACCGGAATTATCCTTGTCGATGATCCTGAATATGGCCTCTAAACTGCTTTTGTTCCTATAAAGAGTTTCCACAACGGTACTGGCCCCTTGAACAGACTGCGATACAAAAGACAAAGGTCGAAGTTTAATCCAATTAACCAACTTTGTTAGTATTCGGTATCAAATTTAAATTTGCACATTAAAAATGTCAAGCGCAACATTTACAAACCTAATAAGTTATAGCTAGAAACTACTTTAATACTGTCGATTTCCACTTCACGAAAGATCTCCCCATCTCCCTGAAATTTTATACTAGAGCCCACCTGACTGAAATATTGCAATGTAGGCAACGATGAAATGTTTGATAATATTTTGACTCCGGATTCATATCAATTTTATTCGTCTTGCATTTTGATCTTGAATAACCACAATAAATAATAAATAATAAATCTTTTAATTAAATTAAACTAATATAGAATACGGCGACATCTTGAGCTGGTGCATATAATTTAAATTCAAACTTAATACGAATATAAAGGCTGCAATCCGCCTCAATATATTTAACTAGGCATAGAGTTAAATTGTATCTAAGTCGTTATGTTCCTTTAGTGAACCACCATGAACCACCGTGAACAAGTTAAATTAGTAACTCCCGATACCAGAAATTTTATTACTATATAGACGTAAGGTATTAAGCAGAGAAAACAAAAAGTCACACACATTTAAGAAAAAATAAAATATAATAAAATTGCCAAAGCTTTTCATCTAAAATGTATTTCTCTTGATCTAACCAGGTGAGTACCTCCTTGCAAACTAATTAACCGACAATATCAAAATAGTAAATCTATATCTTTAATGATTATCGAGATATCGAAATTTGTAGTTGAAAAACGAATTTCGAATGCACTCTACATCCTACATCCACCCCGATGTTGGAAACCAGGCAACGTCTGGAAATTCCGTTACTGGCAAACAACAACCCTTCGCTAATCGCTAATTGAGAAAACAACAAACTTTGGATGCACAAAATGTACAGGGCCTGAAGACTCATAGGCGCACACTAGTATACTGGCAATAACTGAAAAACCGGTAAACAGATACAATGTAGAATTGGCAGACATCTCAGTAACATATTGGTCAGGACAAGGTTATTTCAAAACCAGCAATAATATTGTAAATTTCTCGAAAATATGGAATTGGTCAACTAAATCAAAGGAGTATTCAGGAATTCATTCGCAATTGAAAAGGATCATCAAGAGCACAACCTGACCTACCTGGGTGCGATGTGTGGTTAGGGTATCAATTTGAACCGATTATAATTACTGCAGAGATGCTACAAGCAACATGCGAAACAGGCATCGAAATACCGTACCATTTGCGTAATAGAATAACAAAAAAGGAGTATAACCCTTCTTTCACAAGACTAATGAGAGAGAAATAATTCCGACGGCATTTATAGCAATGAGGGCATAAAATAGAAAAACTAAATTCCAGCTAAACTAACGGTAATAACACTTTTATTCAATTTATAACAGTTTCGACCTCTAGGACTGAAATCAAAAGGGACAATATCGTTACAAATACTCTGACTAACTTTTCCAATACGTTGCTTGTAAAAAAATATCCAGTTGCTGAGTACGTAAAATTATATGTATGTAAAATTCGAGGCTTACATTTAACGTCTCACTCTTAATGTCGAAAGTGGTCTGGTACTTTACCATATTCGTCTCTGGGTCGATCGTGACCAACTTTTCCTTGAGCAGCCTCCATGGAATCTGGAGACCTGTGACATTTTCCAACCCGATGCACCATTGAGCGATGGAGATCATTCCTAGAATATTTCAAAAACAATGCCATAAAAAACTTATAAAAAATAAAAAGGTGAATATGTTCGTTTACCTGTGCCGCCGGTATCTAAGGCTGCGAATTCAGCTTCGATTTTACTCTTATTGTTGAGAATTTGCGCTTGCAATTCCCTGGTGGCTCCCGACTCCACCAGCCCCATCCGCTGGTAGAAATTCAATTTTCTTTTGCCGGCGTTCGCCATGTATTGTACGAAGTAAGGCTCGAGTTGTGTTCCAGTCCCCATCAGTTTTACGTAAGCGCCGTTGTTGGATCCCACCTCGTAATAGTTCGATGCCGAAAAAATCGTCAAAATCTAGGAGAAAATGAAAAACTTTAATTGTGCGATATAAAAAAATCAATTCAACGAGCAGATAGCCATCTTTTTTTTCAAGTCCTGATACTGCAGTTTTCTCAAGAAAAAGTGGAGGTGCATCTTAAAAAATTTTTTAGGACCTTGAGATTCAAAATTATGCGCAGCCGCACAGGTCGAAATGCAAATCGATACAATCAAAAGTCCGTTTCGCATTTTGGTTAATAGCCAAAAAAAATGTCCCATTTTACAATATCAGATAAAAATTAAAGAAATTAATTAAGACTGTTTTAACAATGGTTCGCGTTGTTGCGTCTGAGCTTTAATAATAATATAATGTATTATATATAAGTAGTGAACATACCTAACTTACCATCCACCGGAAAAAGCATTTGATTAGTTAGGGATCTGTAATGTCGTTATCTCAAGAACACACTACAACTGAAATAATTTTTTTATACCCAAATTTCTTTTAATTTAGGGTATTTGATTCGGATATAGTTCAACTGGGTTATTTTGTTAAATGATGAATCATTAACTATACAAATATTATTCACAAACGAGGCAATGGAGAAAAAGAAATTTTCTATGTATATGTTCTATTTATATAGAGATTGTTTGCTCACTGATAATCTACATTAATGATATAATTTTGGACTATAATTCATGAGACACTAACCTATAATTAGGTAGTTGCGAATCATTTCGTCTGAACTTATACACAGAATATCACATTTTAATTTAAACTACGTCCAACATATTGGTAAATACGAAAATCGATAAGACAGGTCTAGCAAATATTAATTTCCAAAACAATGCGGCATACAGACGGGCACATCAAAGGAGAGCGCCGGAACAAGCACGACAAAAGTTCTATATTGACCCTACCAAATTGTCATGGCAAAGCTCGTATCCTTCCGGTTTGCATTCGTGCGACCTTACTATGAGGGACAAGCGATTGTCCTTCACGAATTTCTTTGTAACGTCAGGTCCGAAATAAGTCCCGGCGCCTCGCAAACTGTTGGGAATGCAGCCGCTGTTATCCTGAGGGTCCGACCATAACAAATCGAATACCTAAAATTGAAATGATCGACGGTAGATGAACATTTTTATATATATTATATATATGATAAATGGCAGCTGTAAGGCTCACACGTAGAATGTTATGGGTATTTAATGTGTCAAAAAAATTATTACGCAAAACGGAATCAAAGAAATTGAGTCCTGCAACTAATGTTAATTTAAAACTAGATTTCAAATAAAAGGGTTTAACATATTTCATTGAAATTTTGAAATAGCTGTGGATGTCGAATAATTAAAATAGAAAATCTTAATTAAGCCATTAATATCCTCCACCTCAGTTTTATAACAGTTTAAATTTTACGAACTATCATTATTTTAGCGAAACCGCGATTATTTAATTTGGTTTGTGCTGAGAAAGACTTGAGTTAAAACACACACAAAAATTTGCAATATTTTAGTAACTATTAATAGAGTGTGTAAAACATACGATTAGAATGATAGTGAAAAACTTAGCAAAACCAAATTTTGGAAATTAGCAGGCTGACTAGTGAAAAATGCTAAACAAAACTTTTTCTCACTTATCTAGTAGGATTAAGTATAACGAATTAATATTTTTTAGGATGACCTAGTCTTAGTTCTGATACTTTTTTTGAAAAACCGATAGAAAATGAACTGCTAGGAAGAAAAAAACTTGATCCCTAAATAGAATTCAATAAAAATAACATAATAACGCCTCGTGCATCCAAAAATGTAAAAAATATAGGATGTGCCATTTGAAATTCAAAAGTTACCGTCGTTGCCACTCAATCAGGAAATGCAATGTAAAAATTGCAAGTTTGATCTATATTAATCTCGCTTTTTATAAAACTTCTGGATTCCTCCCGCGTCGGTTTTTGCTTTTTGCTTTCTCTTCTGATATATCTATCATAATACTGTTTAGCATGCGACCATATTAACTCAATAGCATTGAATTCACAATGGTATACAGGGGCACGAAGTAGTTCGCTATCTATATATTAGAAGAACTTCTACTGGAATCCTTTTCTGATAAAATGCTTATAATAAATATAACTGACGGCTCTTCCAAATTGCAAAGTAATTTTTCTTTTAACCACCTAATAAATATTTAGCTATTCATATCCCCATGGTAATCTGCAGATTTTGTCCTGTAACAGATCAAGATCAAGAACAAATGCTTTTTCACTACCTGCATGGACGACAGTAAATCGTTTCCCCTGAAAGCTTAGTGGTCTTCTTATTCTTACACTTTTTATTGAATTATCTTGCCAAGACTTTTTTGGATTCCCTTTGGGAAATACCCACGTTTCGTTCATGAAAATAACCTGAAGGGAGGCATACTCGTAATGTGAAACTATGATGAAGATATGCAACTTCAATAGCTTGCCTGCAAAATCTACAATTATTACTAAACTTACATGATTTAAAATTTAGCATTAAGAAAATTTAATGAAAATGTTCTGAACCATATAAATTTTGTCGCAATTTTGTTCAATGTGGGTGTTGTAAAGGGCCTTTTTAGAGATATTTGACGATATTGTTTTGCTCCAAAAAGTACGAGTGTAAGATACTTTACATGAATTATTCAAGAAATTTGAGGCAGAATTCCAAGATTGACTTTAAAAAATGGCGTTCTATTTAAAAAAAGAAACTAGGTATCGACATTTATCCCTAATTATAGACGTTCACTATATATCTATCTATCTAAATAGGAAACACGAAAGGAGAAGAAAGGAAGGTTGGCTTAAAATTTTTTCTGCGATTATTAAAAACTATCCGTCAATTGGGTTGGCGCTGTCCGAATCAGGACACTGCGGCAGCAACGATTGGGGTTGACCGCAGCGGTAATTTCCTTGCGTGTTCAAGCCTGTAAAGTCGGAAAGGTAAATTTATCCGGGAATAAACGCTTTCAGCGAACTCAATTTCGTAGGGCGGTCTTTCTAGTGTCTCGCGATGTCCATATTATACCAAAAACGCCAGAAAATAATTCAAATATTAGTACCTACTGGGTAATTACAATTTATTTTTGGGCATTAAATTTTAGTTAGTATTGTTTAACAAAATTTTCTGTCAATGTGATTTCAAAATCCCTAGCTCTTTCTTTATATTATATTATACCAAAAGCGCCAGAAAATAATTGGAATATTAGTACCTACCGGGTAATTACAGTTTATTTTTGGGCATTAAATTTCAGTTAGTAATGTTTAACAAAATTTTCTGTCAATGTGATTTCAAAATTCCTAGCTCTTTCTTTGTGGTATAAAAAAATGAGTCAGGTTAAACACAAAAATTTTACATATAAATTTGACAACGTAAATATCTGAACTAACTAAGTCGGAATATTTGAACATTGAGATTTTATTGGCATTGCAACAAGATCTCTACAGCTACAGGTTTGAAATTGTACTAAAGAAAAAGCTATTCTTGTAAAACGAGTTACTTTTCAACACCCATTCTTATTTTTGGAATAGCCTATCCATTTTACATAATACTCAAAATAAAATATGGTGGGTAGCAACAAACAATGTTTTTTTTTGTTTATTTAAATAGTGCATTTATTTAGTAAATCTTCTCCTCCAACTTCGCCAAGATGATTTCAGATAAACATCCCGACTAATCTCCAGATGTTGCTAAAGAAAATAACCAAGCTCCAATGTTTTTTACCAGTCAGGATTTTCAGCCTAAACCCAAATTTATTGCATGGCTGTAAGGCGACTTGTAGATAGAGATGCTCACAAATATTTCATGATGGACAACCATGATGCTATTTTTGCATATTATTTTGGAGGAACACAATGCCCTTTCTCATAAAAGTGTTTCTATAAAATACACCTTACCTTTATCATGTCTCACAATACAAGTAGAAGGAGGATAAGTAAATGAACGACAAATGAACAAACTAAAAAAAAACAGTGGAAAAACGGCAACTGGAAGAAGAACAAATTGTAAGAGAAGAAGCATATGAAACAGAAGTTTTAAATAAATCAAATGACAGCAAGAAGATTGTTTAGAAAATTATGTTTTTGCATACCAATGGGGAGTCATGTAATGAATTATTACTGAGTATTTGAAAAATCTTGATGAGCTATTTCCAGCAAGTAAAGATAAGAGAGGAAATGCAAGACCAAAAAATGTAAAATTTTAGCATTAGAAAATAATATTCAATATGTACTCAGGCGCACTACAATTTGGCAGATTTACCCATTACACTTTACTTTACCCATTACACTGTAACATCTATTTTTTAAGTGTGGAAAAATTTTGCCAGTATCTTACAAAACACACAGAAAGGTAGTTGACAAAGAAAACATAGAATTTTTGAAACCTTACGTAAATCCACATACGTGAAGTAGTAATCAGTCAAACACATATCATATCATCTGCATAAAGAAAAATTTAGAACTACAAGAAAGTCCTACGAAAATTGCATCACCAAGACATTGGAAGATTCAACAGAATAATTTGCTGTCGACATGCAAAAATAACACAACCACAAACACATTGTTGGTGTTTTTAATGAGAATTGTGGTCCTGATACGATAACTTTTAAATATTTTGAGACAGGCCATTGATTTATGAATGCCGATGTTATTCACGATGAAAATGAGAAACAATAGATCAAAGCATAAGAAGTGTTAGAATTTGAAGATCTTCTTAATCTTGTCAAAAACTCATGCTGCAACAATAACACCCCTAAGAATTTGTGAGTTTTGAAAATGGATGTCATGCTAGAAAACAAGGAACAACCGTTCCGTTATTAAGTAATGTAAAAATTTGTCAATTTAGAAAAGAAGAAGTAGTTATCTATTTTTCATAAGTGAAATCTACGGATTGCACTTTAAAAAAAAATAATTTTTAAAACCAAAATTTAAGCATTTGAAACCATATAAAATAAAGGAATCATTAAAGAGTTGATTGACCAAAAAACAATTATTTTGGCGACAACTTCTGGTTTGTAATGTCTCGGAAGACCTTGGTAAAGTCGTAGAGTAAAGTTAACTTACGTACATACTTAGTTTAATAAACTTACTAATATTACTTAAGTTAACAAAAATATATTGTGACTATACTTACGCCTACGAGTTTGTTTAGTTCTATTTTGCGTTTCTATTTTTTATTTTTTATTTTAGTTCAAACAAAGAATTTTCCTAATGTTTTTTTAATGGAATAAAAATAAGGCATAAACACATAGCAACGTGGCGGCAAATATACAGCTGCGGCGTGTATTTGCCATAAGATTGTGCAGGGTGTAACGCAGTGATGGGGAAGTCCGGCCCGCGCAAAGGTTGAATCCGGCCCGTTTAAGAGTGCCGCTTAAAAACTACCTGCAGCGATATTCAAAACACAGTAGTCTGGACAAATCCATCCGACCCAAACAGCTGACTGGTCTTCGCTCGAAACTTCCAGACACTCTCGCATTTTCGATTCATTGTTCTGTTGTTCCAAAAGAACCGGATCCAAAAGAAAGATCGTTTAGTCAACGACTTAGTCAGTCATCTGCAACGACCCGCTGTGACTCGAGTAATTGTTTGTGTAATCCCCGAAACTCCCACTGCCTCAACAAACACCCGCGCAAGAGTATTAGTTAGTAGTGAGCTTTCGTCAATTGCGCTTCTGTGTGTTATTCTCCGTAGTACGTAACGAATAAAATGGATAATAAAAAAAGAAAAGCAGATTGGGAAGGTCGAGTTTTTAAAGAAGAATGGACGTGGAAATATTTCTTTAATTTATTTAAAGAAAAACATGTGTGTTTACTTTGCGATACAACTGTTGCAGTTTTAAAAGAATATAACATTCAAATCGAAAGATTTAATAAAAAATTTATCAAGTCAACAACAATTATTTCAGAGAGCTAATCATTCTCAAAGATGCGCTACGAAAGCCAGTTATGTGTTGGCTCATAATATTGCTAAATCTAATAAAGCATTTTGAGATGGAGAATTTATAAAGCAGTGCATGATAGATGTGTGCGATATTATGTGCCCTGAAAAGAAAATGATTCTCAGTCACTGTCTCTCTCAAGAAAAACAATCACCGAAAAAATTGAAAATATTGATAAAAGTATAATCTCACAACTAACTACAAAAACGCAACAATTTATTTTTTATTCAATTACCATTGATGAAAGTACATATGTCAGCGATACTGCTTAGTAACTCATGTTTGTAAGAGGAATCAACGCCCACATTGAAATTACAGAAGAACTTGTAGGGCTGCAGTCAATGAAAGGAAAAACGACTGGTGCCGATATATTTTGTGAATTTGAAAATCTCATCGATAAACTTACTTCGCTTACGTATTGATAAGTTATGTAATGTAACTACAGATGCTGCTCCTAATATGGTTGGAATGAATCAAGGATTTGTTGGGAAATTTAATTCTAAGTATCCGGAAAGTGATGTTGTTTTTTTGCATTGCCTTATACATCAGGATCCTCTCTGTAAATCGGCTTTAGATATTGACCATACACTTAATATTGTTGTAAAACTAGTAAATATGATTCGTTCCAGAGGATTATTACATCGCCAGTTTCAACAGTCTTTGGAGTCCGTACACGCTCAGCATTCCGATATCCTGTATTATTCAAAAGTTCGTTGGTTAAGTGCTGTTAAAGTATTTGAAAGAATTATGTTCTTGATAAAGACATTTATAATCAATTTGACGTCTTAGAAAACGAAATGTGGCTGTCTGATTTCGGTTTTTTTCACAGACCTCCTCGTACACATGAATAAACTTAATCTCAAATTGCAAGGGAAAAATCAGTTTCTTCACGATATGTGGCAATACCTGAAGAGTTTCAAATTACTGTTATCATTATTTGCTAATCAGATCTTTAAATCTGATTTTTCTGATTTCCCAAGAATACAATCTTTAAAATTCACTATATCAAACAATAGATTAAAAAATACGAAATTAATTTGAGAAAAGAAGATTTCAGGACTTTAGAAAAATGGAACCAGAATTTAGTATTTTTGCGAAGAAGTTGATGCAAAATTTAAAGTTGTGTTAATAGAACTGAAATATAATACTCTCCTGAAACAAACTTTTCATACAGTACCATTACTAGAATTTTATAAAAATTTAAGTCCAGGCAATTTCCCAAATCTCATGCAATGCAATGAAGATAATGACAATGTTCGGCTCATCTTGTATATGCGAACAAATCTTTTCAACAATTAAGTTTAGGAAAACTTCTTTAAGAAACAGAATTACAGATGAGCACCTTTCATCAGTTTTAAGAAATTCTGTTTCGCAAATGGGACCAGACTATGATGAAATTTAATTTTTCTCATGCATCATCAACCAGTAATAACACCAAAAAATAAAGTGATAATACTTCACATCAAGAACTACGCTAAATTCATTTTATATTCTGTGCTTATAATTTTCTTACCTTTTACTTTTTTACTATTGAAGTAATAAGTGTATGTAATAATATAGGTATATGTTAATAAAACACATAAATTTTTTTGACGATTAAGCATTATTCGGTGGCTTGCCACGATCGCCTAGTTATTACACATGGCTCGTCTTAAGAAAAGTTTCCCCACCACTGGTGTAACGTGTTGTCCTCGAATTCAGTCTAAAAACTATGCAAAGCTCAAAGAATCGAACAATATTGAAAAGTTCGTGTGTAAAATTTGCCCACGGGTAACATAACCATACAGTCAAAGACATTTCTTCAGACCTAAAATTTAAAATTTCAATTCACTGGGGTTCATATTCACTTCTTTGTTGAGAGAAATGTGAAAATTTAAAAACTTTACTGGCAGTAGCTACTTCACTTAAAAATTAAATATCTGATTTTTTAATTTTTTTTTATTTTAAGCGTTCACTGTATATTTTCTAAGTGCAGGCTAATAGCAATAAATAATAATAGTGAAAAATACATACCTGTTTCCATTCCACTTTATTGATCGCCTCGGCTCCTGGAGCGCTGATGTCATTTAAAGGCGGCCTCAAAAGCGATGCGTACTGAAACAGGAGTTTAATAATTTCAGTTTGTGTTTAAGTAGTTCACTATAGTTTCGCATTATTTTCTACCACAAACTGAAACGGTTATTGGGATTTGATCGACTACAAACGTTTGAAATTACCTTTTCGCGTTCCAAATTTCTAATGACGCCCAGGTCAGTGTTATCGGAAATTCCCCCGTGGACCACAAGAACCGTATTGTTAACTATCGTTCCCAGTGGAAGCCACCTGTAGACATCTTCGATAAGTTTCAACAGCCGTTCGGCGTTTTTCTGTCAAATGAAGAATAACGAGACTCCTATTAGTTTTGATTGAGTTGACTGTTACTTGATGATAATTCATTACATACGTAATTTAATAAAAACAAACACTTGCTTTAAGATTACCACACACATGTTTATTGCTTTGACAATTGTTTCGATACACGGTACCTTCTTCAAAAAGAATCTCTAAACTAAGTATCCCAGGGTTGATTACAGACTATCCATACAGTAGGTAGGATCTTTATCTAAGGGTTTAATTATTTAAATCGGTTTGATCGTTTAGTAGCAAACTTGTATATTTGAGTTTATTAATTTCTATTGTTTCTAATAAGTTAAGTTTTTTGATTTTGCCTTGATTATGTCATATTTTAACATTGTTATGGAAGGAATGTCCTGTTTCTATTAAATGATTACTATAATTAGAGCCATTTTTAGAATTCAGGAATGAACGTTTGTGTTCTTGAATCCGTTTCTTGAAACTTCTGCCAGTCTGACCCACGTATATTTTTGGACAAGATCCACATGTTAATTTGTATACTCCCGACTTACATAACTTAAGTATTTTCGTTTTATTATTTTTAATTACACATCCTAATGTTCTATTACATTTAAAAGCAATATTTCGATTTAGCCTTCAAAGTTTTTTAGCTATTATTTCACTTGGTTGTCCAAAATAAGTTAATAATTAATTATTGGTTTACAAAAGTTTTTTACTCAAATATCTTATTTGTTAGAAGTAGGCAATATTTTTTAAAATTCGTCCTTTTAACAAATGTAAATCGAAATTAATTATTGGATTTTACAGATTCACGCAGATAAAAAATTACAAAGGGTGAAAATTGCAACAAGAGCAACAATTCAACATTGTCTTGAAGAAAAACCCAAAAACAGCAACAAACTCGGCTCAATAAGGACTTATATAAGGCATGCATTGGAAGCAATCGACCACTTAAAAAACAGGGCAGCATCAATTTAAGATCATATTTGACAAAATATTGTAAATTTAATATACCGGACGAGTCAACTGTGCGTAAAGGTAATATTAATGTCATTTGCAACCAAACTTTAAATTACAAAAAAAAGTGATTGATGAAACAACTGAATCATGTGGGAGATATATTGCACCAATGAATATTGTACATCTTATTTAACTGCATCCAAACCATTGGAAAAAAAAACAACAATTTAAGTGTAACCAGATTTGTTCAAAAAACATTAACCAACTTTTTTGCCCAACAGTGTTCCGACAGAAAAAAGAAAAAATCATATTCCTTTTATCGGATGCTGCACCCTATATGGTTAAGGCAGCACAAAATAAAAAAACATATGTTATTTGTTTGGCTCATGGTATTAATGGTCAAAGTGAAAGTCAAATGATCTTTTATTTAAAAATCTGCAAGCAAACAAACAAGGCATTGTAACAATTGAATAAAGTAAGTGGTACAAAAAAATCTAATTTAACCAGTCCATCACCATAATGTAATTTTCTTTTATGTTTTATAATTGGAATAACTACACATTTTATTATCAATAGAATGAAAGACAGTCAACTATGACCTACATATTTGTTTAATTATTATTAATTCCTTGCTTAAAGAAGAATATGCACAGTAAGCAAATTATTGCCTTTAAATCAATTATCAACTGGATCCTGACCCAAAGATTGGACCACATTAGCAGTCATTCCAAAAAAAAGGCTCCAGGAAAGGAAAAATGTGGAAACTACAGACTTATAGCGTTACTTTCACATGCTAGCAAAATTCTCTTAACTATCATTAACGAAATATTAAAAACTTTTTTACAATGGTAAATTATACCTGAACAAGCGGGCTTTACAAAAAGCATGGGAACGCGAGAACACGTTCTTAAAATCAAACAAATCATAGAAAAGGAACGTGAATCCAACAAATCATATATATGTGCATGGACTACCAAAAACCTTTGGTAGTGTAAAATGGAATATTCTCTTGTATATACTGAACAGGATGAGCCCACTAAAACATCTTATATCCCTAATTGCCCGCCTGTATTTAGATAGCAGCGAGGTAGTGCCTCTCGACGGATTTTTATCAGATGCTTTTACTATAAAAAAAGGCGCAAGAGAAGGATGTATACTGTCACGACTCCATATGTTATGTGAATACGTTATGAGAAATGTTTTGGAAGACTGGGAAGGTGGCATTGTGATTGCCGGAGAAAGAATGTATGTCGACGATACTGCCATGTTGCTTTTACTATAAAAAAAGGCGCAAGAGAAGGATGTATACTGTCACGACCCCATATGTTACGTGAATACGTTATGAGAAATGTTTTGGAAGACTGGGAAGGTGGCATTGTGATTGCCGGAGAAAGAATGTATGTCGACGATACTGCCATGTTGGAAAACAATTCGGATGGGCTTGGCCAACTAATGCAAGAGAAATAAAACTGCAACTATGACCTGGAGATTAAGCTTGGCAGGACAAACCTCATGATCATAGAGAGACAACACAACAATCTCCTAGACATAACAGAGATAAGACAGTGTCAAGTGGTAAATCAATGCATATTTCTGGGAGTATTAATAACAAATGAAAGGCGAAGCACGCAAGAAATTAAGAGACAATATGTGAGGGTAGAACGAACAACAAAATGCCTGCAAAGGACCTGGAGAGACAGGGAGGTCACACTGAACACAAAATAGAGCATTGTCAGAACACTAATATTTTCCATTGCCCTGTATAGTGCTGAATCCTGAACCATCAAGAAACAAGGCAAAAGGAAGATAGATGCGGTGGAATAGAAGAAAATGGATGGCAATTGTACATAGCCTGACAAGCCAACAGTGTAGCTATTGTGATCACGACCCTTCTGAAAAGAAGGGTTTATTTTGTTTTTGAAAGTATTAAAACTTTTTTGCATCTTTATTTCAATTAGTATCTTATTAAATAAGTTATGCATGAATAAGTGATGATGTGAGTCTGTGCAGTGGGAAATTAAAACTTTCATATCTGGTATTGATGTTTTGCTGTGACTCTTGCAAAATAAACTTTTCGCGGTTCTTGAACAATAACATGTCGTTTGCCCAGGTTCAAGATGATTCGTCTTACTAATTTTTGTGCCATAAACGCAAAAAAGTTTGCATAATTATCTGTTTCAAGATGTTGCAACGCTAGATATTATGATAAGATCCTTAAAGAAAATCAGGACTTCTTAATCTTCTTCTTAAGAGGTTTGGTGGCCAATATGAAATTCCCAAAAATGTGGTTGTTTTTAAATAATCATTCGCTGGGGAACTTGGTTAACTATAGCCCCTGCTATATTTCATGTCCAAAACTTTGAATTAATTAAAAAGGTATCGAAAATCTAAACGACTCATTTTCTGCAGCTTTAATAAATATAAAAACTATTTTTTGTAACCCAAGAGCAAAATAAAATTTAATATTTATAAAAACAATTTTTTCTTTTCTACCTATAGCACTCACGAAATTATAGGCTACCTCTGTTTCTTTGACAGATTCAGTGACTTTAATAAATCATTTTAAGGTTGATTGCAAAAAAGTGTCAGGTACTGTTGGGGCTGCGGTTATAAAAGAATTTAGGTCAGTAATTGAAAATAAGGATTCAAAATTCTAAAAAATATTTCAGAAGTTTTTATAGGCAATTTCACTAATTTCGAAGGAGAACTGGATTAGAAACACACTAATTCCAAAATTAAAATATTGTCCGATAAGTTCTGTAGACTTTGAGCGAAATTTTTCCACTTTTAAACATATGTATACAAATAAAAGACACATTTTTTGAGAAATTTTGAGAAACATTTAGTTATCAATTGTTCTTATTACTGCAAAGAATAGTTCGTTAATTTACGAATTATTTGTTGTAAGTTGCTATTATCTAAATGTATGTAGGTTTTATTACGATTTTTTGTTTTGTTTCATTTATATTTATTAAACTAGATCTGAGGTGTAGCTAAAAAATTATGAGATTTCAGAAGCACGCATTCAATTAAAAAAGAAATAGTTCTGGCTTTATTTAAAATAACAAAATAACATTAATATTCATAATTTTTCATATAATTAAAATGTTCATTTTGATGCATATATTCTGAAATTTTGATGGAATGAAATAAGCAAAGTTTATCGCGCGCATTTTTCCACTCTTTAATGTTGAATAAAATTTACGAAACTGTAAATTGAAAATAGTTAAAAAAATTCTTAAATAACTTTACGATAAAACCATTAAATCGTCCAACCTGTTTAATGCATAAAGAAATTAGGTATACGAACGTTTTCATTTGCAAAAGATACCGAAAACCTTTTTCGGTTTCCGTCTGCACACACCGGTCTACAATAATTCCAGAATTTCCTGCATGATGGTGTCCGAATTGAATTAAACGCGCGGTTGAAACACGCACATCGGGAAATGGAAAGTCATTACTTTGATCTCCAATTAGCGATCCGAAGAAGTTGGAATTAACCCAACGGGTTGTAGCATATCGCGTTCGTACGCGAAGCGGGGCTTATTTATTATATGCCTAATGCCTAAACGGAGGTTTCGCAAAATTTTAATTTGTAATCAGATCCAAATTAATAACCAACAAATTCAAGAGGTGCATCCGAGCGTATCGAATATATTTTTAAAAAAATAATGCCAATTACCTTACTGACACATGGAGGCATAGGATCTAAGAGGGCCGCTCAATAAGCCTTAAAAAAATTAGAAAAAAACATTAAAGTATGGCATTTCTTTAGGCAATTACTTTCCGTCAGAAGTAAACTTTTGTTCTTTAAGTCTGGAAGCAAGAAACAGCAACCGAGGGCCAAATCTAGTTGAACCGGCCTTTAACTTTGTCCATCGCAGCTACGTAGGTGCGCGGGTATAATACCCTCTTTTACCGTCATTCCCTTTCCAAGGTATCAATGTACATGATTCTTCGAGCATCTCAAGAGACCATGGCCATAACTCATATAGCTACTAGAGATATAGGGGTCCTACATAAATGTCGATAATATAGGAATTTATGAAGCAATTATGTCAAAATTTTTAAAAAGTTCGGTTCAACATGCGCATGATCGAGTTTTTAACAAATGAGTAATGCGAAATTCATTTTTTGTCAGTACAAAATAATAGAGAATGAAATGTATTTTATTAACTCATATGACACTCTATATCGTGTTCCCAGTAAACGCAAAAGGTGCCGTGTTAAACTAATGAAATAACAGAACTCGATAGTTCAAAGGGATGACAATTTTGAGTATCTTTGATATCGTCTACATGAAACGTTTTTGTGTGGTTTATTTAGTAAAGTGAATTGGATCTGTGTCTATGTGAACTTAATTTTTCTTGAGATGGTACCAATTTGTTCTGTACAATTTGTTCGACAATTGTAAACCTTATTTTATGTTTTGCACCCAAATAATTTATTTGAAAGAGGTAGGAAAGGTATTTTAAAATTAGTTTTTCTATTCCTTTCTGTTAAATACCTAATGAGTGAGCCTCTTGTCCCACAGATTCGAACCTCCCTTGGGACATTTCTGCGATATTACCGCACGGCTTGAATTCTGATGTTTGTAAATTCTATTGGTCATGTCAGTGAATGTATTCGTATGGTTTTGCGAAAATGTACCCAAAACGGTCGTAGAAAAAGTATAGTATGCAAAACGTTTGGCAAACTTTTTAAGTCACCACTCGACACTAATGTAAACCAATTGATGATTGCTTTTTTGGATTTTCCAGATTATTGCAGATAAAAATTACTTGTCAAATATCAAATCAATAAAACAAAGCGCGAAAATTGCAACGAGAGGAACCTTCCCGGAAAACAATGCAACATTGTCTTGAAGAAAAACTAAAAATCCGAGAACAAGCCTGGTCGAATAGGCAACTCATATTTAAGATCATTTTTGACAGTTTTGATGTCATTTACCGGCAAACTGTAAATAACTCGCTGGGAAATTTGCAACATTTCGCCAAAAAATATATAGAAGATCTAAACGACTCTTTTTTCTAACGCAACAGTGAAATAAAATTTAATATTAATAAAAACAAATTATCCTTTTGTACCTATAGCACACTAATTGAGTTCAAAAATCTAAAAAATATTTCGGAAGTTTTTATGTGCAATTTCATTAATTTCGAAGGAGAACTGAATTTGTATAAATTCCACTTAATTCCAAAAGTCTGATAACTTCTATAAATATTGAGCGAAGTTTTTTCATTGTTAAACATATTTTTACCTACAAAAGACACTATTTTATTTTATTAATTTTATAACATATTTCTTTTTATAGTACCAAAATTATTAGCGATTATTAATTTTGTCAGTGTAAGATTTACATGTTTAAGATTTTATGTTTTTGCAATTTGCTGTAGTAGTAAGTGACTTTAGGATTTTTGAACAATGTGTTTAATTATTATGATATAGTATCGATAAATTGAAAATAACATTAATGTTCATAATCTTTCATAAAATAATATTTTGCATGCAATGCAATATTTACATTATATGCATTTAACTGTGGTTAATCGTCAATAAGTTTAGTTGCATTTTTTTGAATTATACAATGTGTGTCACAAGTATGGCGTGGAATAGGATGTTTTTATTTTAAACGGAATTCCTCATTACTTCATACATCAATTTGTTTATGGATCCTATGAGTTATTATAAACCTCTCTTGTTAAATAATATGGGGTCCAAGGCTTGGCATTTTCATGACTTTGAAAAATTAATATTTTCTCGGCGATTTAAGTAATGACACTGTTGATTACCTGATGTATTTTCTCCCTTATACCTGTTGTGTAACGTTGAGGATTTAAAATCATATAATTTTTTCTAGGTATGTGGTAAACCTCTTTTCAATAGTTATCTAAAATCGCTTGCTTGTGTATATTACCTAAAATTTAATAAAAAAACGAACTATTTGTTAAGTTTTTAGACAATGAACGCTTAAATAAGCATATAAATATGAACCCAAAAAGAGCGTGGTTTATCGACTATTAAAATTAATAGACAATCAAAAATAATCCATATACTTACTCTATACTTCGTCTGAACTTCTCTAATGAACCCGTATCTGAAAAAATGTCAATTTTAACCTTCCAGCAATTGACGGGTTTTGTAAAAATTTTTAAGCACATTTTGACGACATTTTAAGCCTAATTTCTGATGAATATAAGTATGTAAAAATAACAATATTAATTGTCCAATGATTAGCGGAGTAAGTCAAATATTTTCCCAAGTTTTGGAAGATTGTTAAATTAATATAGCGGGTACGGTATTAAAAAAACAAATTTGAAAAAAAAAAGAAAGTCCACCAGTAGAAAATATTTTTGAGCTTCTGAAGGGGCGTAAGTCTCTTAGTTGTCTACTCTTTTAATTATATTTAGTTTGTAAAATGTTTATTGCATTAAAAATGACTCGTTAGAAACGAAGTATAATACTGCTGCTTACTTTCGAAAAATGGAATTTTTCTCGGGAACTATTTTATACCTTTTAAAATCACATGTGCAAGGGTCCTACAAAAAAAATCTCAAAAACTGTTACTAACATAAAAAAATATTGAACGAGAAGACCCGAGAGATCCGCATCTTAAAATCATTATTAATAAGATAATCTGTAAAATACTAAAACGTGCGTTAATCCTTCAATAAAATTTGTTGTAGCTAGAAGACGATTTAGCAGTTTTCAGTTTTTTTTGGAAGATTATAGCTGTCTAAACGAGCTTCACTTAGACAGCTATAACTTTTATATTTAACGTTTTTTATAGTGTACAGGGTGTTCGATATATTTGGTGCCATAAATAAAATATAATAGGTGCCTTAAATTTGCAGCTATGGACTTAAAATTTGGAAGGGAAGTAGAAGTCCATACCCACATTTAAACTTCAGAAGTTGAAGAAGAACTATTTTTAAAAAAAATTTTTGGTTTATTTTGGCTTGCGAAAATTATTTTCTCGAAAACCATTAACCCGGTCGGAAAAATTCTTCAATAGAGAAACGCGAGAGATCCGGGACTAAAACTTTTTTTTTGAGTATTTTCCGATTATGTACAAGGCGTTTCAATTATGGAGAAAGTCCAACAGACCCTGAAAATTGCTCTTTTCCAGAATAAATTATTAGCAGCAAATAAGAATTCGTAAACAATATTTCCAACTGGTTTAAGTAGTATTCTAGGCCGCAATTTCCAGCAAAAAAAATATTTTTTAGAAAACTATTTAATCTTTTGAAAAAATGTAACGACCGGGAAACTAATACGTTTCCCGGTCGTTACAGGGCTATAGCTGCTATTTCCGACATTTTTTAATTACGCACAGGGTGTGTTGGTTATGGGCAAATTATTAACTATATTAACAGGATAGTATATCATGAAAGTTTCAGGTTTTGTCTATCATGCAAGGCGCGCGAGATACTTGGAAAAATATTATTAGACGAGATTTGGAAGACACTTAAGAACCAGTGCACAATAAAATTACATCGATTTTGCGAAAATTCCAAAGTGGCCCCCAGGAGTACGATACAAAAACAATGCGTCCCTCTAAGACAAAAGACAAGAAACCCCGAAGGGGTTTTTTTAAAATGCAAAGCTGCTTGTTGCAATAAACATTTTACTATTGAAATAATTTAGTAATTATTAAGTATTTATTAAATTTACAACAGTTGTATTGCCTTTTGTCTGACAACTAACATTGTATAACTTCTAAGGATGTCTCGCTATTCCAGCAATCAAATCAGTTAGTTGTAGTACATTATTTTTTGTTGAAAAGAGAATTCCCAATATCGTAATTAAAAATTGCCAAATTTGTACAATTACCTTCAATATTGTAAATAATAGTCAATGCTATAGTTCGTCGATATATAATGTTATTTTTTAACTTTAATTAATGATGTTCGTATTATTTGAATTTGCAGTTGCTTATGTCTAGCAATTAAAATTAAAAACATAAATTATCGCTAATCTACTCCTTTCCATCATATATAAAGTAATCTAGCCACGGTTTTAATAACCTCAAATTCCCCAGAATCTGCGCGTTAGCGTATAACGTTTAATGTTAATTAATGGTAATTTAAACATTCAGTTTTTGAAATTTTCATTGAATAGCGGAGCGTAAAAATATAAACATATGTCATATTGAAAATAATTCCAAAATGAAATATAAGGTCTTTTTTTTCCACAGGCTACTGTAATACTACTTACAAACCCTCTTGGTTCTTCCTGGGTCTATTGTGATGAAAGGAACTTGCTGACATTTCGCTAACTGAAACTGATTCTCATTCTACTCTGTACCTGCTAATATATTGTTTGAGGGAAGCGCAGCTAAAGGAGGAGCATGAACGTTGTGTCAGATGACGGATTTTATATTGAACTGAGGTGGCTTTTACTTGATGAAAATCCATTTATCAAAATAAATAAGAACTAAAAGTTCAGATTATCACGAAATTATATATTTTTACTGACAATTGTTTCGACAACACCGTGTCTTTATCAAATGTTTGAAAATCTGGGTTTTCTATTGCTGAAAGAAGGAAAAACTTGAGTCGCGGTTAAGAATATTTTGTGCTTATAGATTTCTATAGATTTTCGTACCTTTCCTTGATAGAAGAATTGATTACATGTAAGAATTTTAGTTTTACCGAATAAAATTTGATGTCCGCTTTCGTGATTATGTTCTGCAACTGCTGATGAGTTTATTTAACATAGACTTAAATGCTACGGTGGCCATGAACACAAGTGAATATCAGGAAAAAATCATCAACTTAAAAAAGTATCTACGTCATTTATGGAACGCAACCTCAAATGTTTTTACTAAGGCTTCTTCTCTATCAGAATCCGCGAACAAGTTTGTTAACCCGCATGAATCTACAATTCCTGGTCTCTACGGACTCCCTAAGATTAATAAACCTGGATTACCCCTTCAACCTATTGTGAGCACCATTAATTGAAAACCTTAATTGAAAAATGGAACACATTTTTCTTATCGCGGTCAAATTTTTGAACAAGAACACCCCTAGATTTTCTTAGCCATTTAAATTCTATATACCCTAACATACATGGGATTCAATCAACAATTAGAAAATCAGACCTAACATCAACTTATTCTGTTTACAGAAATCCTACACACACAGATTGATAACCTAATGCATTGTCACATCATCATCAGTCCCAAAAATCATCGGTAATCAACCCTCTTGCTTACAGAGCCGAAACGAAAAATCCGAAATGCTATAAGCAACACAACAATCTTAACCGCGACTCTGGTCCTTACCATTATATGGGAATCAGTCATCCCAGACAATGTTCATGCTGCTCCTTTAGCTTCCCCTCAAAAAATATATATAAGCAGGTACAGAGTAGAATTCGAGCCAATTTCAGTCAAGCTCTGAAGATGCCAACAGGATGATTGGCGAAACGTCCACAAGTTCAGTTCATCAACAACCGACGCAGGAGGAATCCAGAAGATTTGTAAATAGTAAAAATAAGGTTCTTTTAAATATACTTAAACCACAATTACCATAGTTTGCCAGATTTATTTGAATAAAGTAGTCAAAATGAGCTATACTATATATATACTAATCTATACTAATCTATTGTTTTCGCAAAATTTCATCATACCAAAGGTCCTAGGAAAAATTATATTTAATAAATAATTAGTAATACCTTTAAAAATCACATGCACAAATTATTACGTTAAATAAAATACTGACAAACTACCAACATTAGTTACAGAAAAAAGTTTAAAAATTTGTTGTTAGTAACTCATCTTTTATTTTTTAGCAATTTTGTATTACTGGTGGCGGTAGATTTTAGATTTGTTTTTCAATTCAATAAACTGAATATTACGTTTTGGATATAGGCGGCTATGCTTCCCGCTGCTGCCAATAAAAGTAAACAAATTATAATCATTTGATGTGTAAAAACGTCCTTAAAACGACTATTAGTGTCAAGTAACTTTATTCTTATAATTATCTGACAATGGAAAGTTTTGAAAAAAATAACTTATGTGGTACTTCCAAAAAATTGTGCCATGTTTTAATACGCCGTTCCAGCTTAATATACTAAACTATCCTAATTGAAAACAGCGATAAAGACATGTCAAGACACTGTCGATCAAATGTAATTAGGTTTCCAGATGAGGACTGAATAAAATCGTTTCAAAGCATTACAATATGTCATCAAACCCAGACATTTAATTGTTCGCCTTGCTTTTCACCGCTAAATAAGGAAGAATTATACGTAAGTTATATGTACCTACAAATCAATTAATCAATCAATTAAAATAAAATATTTTTACAAAAACTCATATAGTGCAAAGAGATGCTAACGTTTTTAAATTTAATTATTATATAGATACTACTAATTTTTACTAAACATATTTTATTAAACGGCGGGTTGTAGAAAAAAACCGGTAAGTGTCGCGCGTCAAATTTCTAACTCAGAGCGGCACTTTATATATATATATATATATATATATATATATATATATATATATATATATATATATATATATATATATATATATATATATATATATATATATATATATATATATATATATATATATATATCCCGCCTATATCCAAAACGTAATATTCAGTTTATTGAATTGAAAAACAAATCTAAAATCTACCGCCACCAGTAATACAAAATTGCTAAAAAATAAAAGATGAGTTACTAACAACAAATTTTTAAACTTTTTTCTGTAACTAATGTTGATAGTTTGTCAGTATTTTATTTAACGTAATAATTTGTGCATGTGATTTTTAAAGGTATTACTAATTATTTATTAAATATATTTTTTCCTAGGACCTTTGGTATGATGAAATTTTGCGAAAACAATAGATTAGTATAGATTAGTATATATATAGTATAGCTCATTTTGACTACTTTATTCAAATAAATCTGGCAAATTATGGTAATTGTGGTTTAAGTATATTTAAAGGAACCTTATTTTTACTATTTACAAATCTTCTGAATTCCTCCTGCGTCGGTTGTTGATGAACTGAACTTGTTGACGTTTCGCCAATCATCCTGTTGGCATCTTCAGAGCTTGACTGAAATTGGCTCGAATTCTACTCT